CGATGAATATTGGCTTGGTGAAAAGGACGAATAAAGTTACGCATGATAGGGTTACTTAATTGTTGCAGCTCTAAATCCAATATATGAAAGAAACATCTCCATGACATTGCTTCTTTTACAAACTGCCCTAAAGCCATGCTGACCAAGGCCTGTTGTAAACCAAGTCACTGGTTTCATTTCGTTTTCTACACAAGAAAAATGCGAATTCAAAGCAAACAAAATTTGTCTGTTAATTAAATTTTAAGTAGCCTTCTTGCTCACATCTTATCTTTTCGCTTCTGGCAGCAATCACCAAGAGGTAAAATAAAGAAGGAAAACCGGTTAAAAGGTAGCTAGCTAGCAGAAGAAATACTCCTCCCAAGAGCATAAAGATGATTTGCCACCACAAAGAAACTGAGCCAAATGATTGACAGATTCATGTTTATGTTCATGGTTTGTATAGGACTGGAAATGTGGATGAGTCCATCCCCTGGACATACCTCAGGAGTCAATCTCCATGATTTTATCACTGAATTACAGAAATATAGTGATGTCAAGATCGTGAGCAGAGCTTTCAAGGAGTGGAGTATCAGGGAAGCAGCACACCAGAAAATATATGAAAGGAAGAATTTTGGAGGACAAAAGATGCGTGTGGCATTTACGAATTCTTTTGGCTGCTCCACAAGAACTCAGGGTTGGCTTGAACAAAAACGAAATACATACTTTTTGAACAAAGCCGTCCATGAAGCTGATTGTGTGAGGCTCGCAAAGATGGTTGGAGAATTGGAGCTGAGATTGTGTCTAGAAAAACTGGTTTGATTTGAAAACAATAGCTAAGTTTTGCAAGTGGATCCAAAAGTTTTGGAAAATGAGTTGTTCTTTATGGCAAATCTCCTCGCAAGATCATTCATTCATACTCCATCAAATTTCAAGCAAGCGGTTCTGGCTATCTACCATCCAATCCCTACAAAGCGTTTAATTGAAATGAAACGATCAGTGATTCTTGCTGCCTTGAACTTTGTCCAAAGTTTGGACAAAAATTACAGCCAAAACTTTTGAGTTTCTGGATTCAAACCTAGCCTAGTACGAAGCATGCAACCTCCAGAGCTCTGGCTGGAACATGGAACTTTGTTTTTTTGAGAGGGATGGAGGTCTGAACCAGCTCAGTGCTCTCCCAATAGCCAGGTCCCTTGTGTTGCTCAGAAAACATGAACGTCACATGCTCCAGGCAGAGTTCTGTTTGAATAGATAACTAAGTAAATAACTAAACCAATTTAACCATAAATGTTTCTCAAGATCCTCTCAACCTGGGCCAGACACGAAGTTATGGATTAAATTCCCCAGTGACGTCTCAGGATCCCAGAAGTGACCTGATATATAAATACCTACACTAGCTGGGATCAGTGGCGGGTTTTTTATATCCATTTGCCAGTTGGTCAGAATACGAATTTGTTTATAGTTGAGTTGTCATTAAATTGGAAAACAAAGTAGAAACCTAAAGCGCAGGGTTGCGTATGGGGCAATTTCGTATACGAGTGCATCTGCGTTTGAGACCGTCGGACAAACACTCTTCTCATTTTCATCTGGAGCATAAGGCTAATGGCTTGCCATCAATCGTCCGGGTTAACCTTCTCAAGCATGAAAAGATCGTTTCGAAGCACTTCAAGGAAGAAGTGTGCTTCAATTTCGACAGCATTATCGAAGTAAGTAGCCTCTAGGTAAGAAGTTGAACTTTACTTTTGCTTGCGTCCAGGGAGCCACTCAAGAAGCCGTATTTGAAAGATGTGCAGCTCCAGCACTAACAGATGTACTCAATGGCTACAATGGCAACATTGTTGCTTATGGACAAGTTGGATCTGGAAAGACGTTCACAATGGCTGGGGAAACAAAAGTTCGTTTTCTTATTTCCATCCCGCACATAAAGGCTTACGAGGTAAAATGTGGCAATCAGCCTTTTGTTCACAGTGGAGTTATTCCTCGATGTATCAACCGTCTTTTCGAAGAAAAAGAATCTAAGCCTGAAGCTGAGATCACAATTCATGTTTCTTATCTAGAAATATATAATGAAGTTAGTCTGAACAAAGGCCTTCTTTATTTTCTTTAATCTTCCTACTTCCAGGTTGTATATGATCTTCTGATGAAAAATCAAGCTGCAAGCAACTTAGTACTGATGGAAGGGAGAGGCATAATGGAAGTCAAAGGCCTTCGCAAGACTCTTTGCCGAACTGAAGCTGATGCTATGAAGCTTCTATTTGAAGGAGGGCGGAGGAGGTCGGTCGCAAGCCATCCACTCAGCCGGGTATGTTCGTAAACCTGATTATATCTTCCCTTTTAAAAAATGGAGATATGCGTAATCAATGACCCATTTCAGGCGTCTAGTAGATCACATACCGTGTTTACATTGTATGTGGAACGACATGCTGGGCTCAAGTCTCTTCCAGAAAGAACTGCTGCAAGGTTGAATTTGATCGATCTCGCTGGGTTGGAGCGGTTCAGAGGTTTTAAGCCACCAGATCCACTAATGAGGGAAGCCATGTCCATAAACAAGTCACTTACGTTTCTAGAACAGGTAAAAAAGCTTTTTTGCACATATAATTAATTTAGGTTCATTTCAGGCTGTTCTAGAGCTAAGAAGGGGGCAGAACCACATTTCTTTCAGGCAAAGTCGGTTAACAGCCTTCCTTCGGGATGCGATTGTAGGAAACGGGAAAACAGTTTTAATCGTCTGTGCAGTACCAGAGGATGATTACCTTGATGAGACGGTATGGCTTTTTTTCTTATCAAATTAAAGTTCTTTATTTAATCACGTGCTGTATGACATCAGATTAGCGTCTTTAAATTTGCAAAACGTCTTAGAGAACTAAAGACTAAAGCTGTGATAAACAAAGTTTTGGATCCAATTTACAAAGAACGGTACACATGCACTCCATGAAACGCTCCATAATTTCTACCGCATAACAGGAAGTATGAGAAGCGCATCCTTGAGCTTAAGCAGGAGCTTGCTTTAAAAGATGCACTGAATGGCCATGCGAACATTTCTTATGAGGAAATGAAGTAAGATTATTGTCAGAACCTCAATATTATTACTTTTATTACTGCCCGTGGACGACCAGTGATGATTTGAAGATGGAACTTCAAGCGTCAGTCAAGCATTTCCTCGCTGATGGTGGGACCATCAATGACATTCCAGTGGACACACTATCTCAAGTAACTAGGTCCTCAATGATTATGTATGTTTCTAAAGAATATTCTTGGGCAGGTGAGGGAGATTTTCAACATTTTTAAGGAAGCACAACTTAGTCTAAAACAACAAGAAGTGAGTTTTTCTCAGAAAGCTCACCTATAGACTTGCCTAAAGTATAATGATCAGGTCAGTAAAGGACAAACGGATTGCACTGCAGGTATAGAACATCCAGATGATATTCTTGCTGCTCAACCATGTTCAACTGAGGGAGTGGGTGAGCTGGATGGTCAGGTATTTCTGGTTACAATAGTTTGAGCTTTTACCTTAAACTATATTAGTAGAGCTTCCATGTTGGCGAGGCACCACTGGATGCGAAGCCTGACTTGCAAGATATTTTAATTCTGCCTGTAGTAAAGGATCCTGATCAAGAAGTTGCTTCTGTTCTGCAATCTCGTTCTGTCAAAGAAGAACCAAGTCCAGACACAAAGAATGCGGTAAGGGTATCGAATTGTGTATCATGGTTATGCAGATTGTTTGTTTGGCAGGCCTTTATTCACTACAAAAAGAATGTAGCTGAGGGTCAGCAATTTGAGTCACTGATAAAAGACAAAACTATTGAACTAAGGTACCCGAAAGTTTGTACGTACTTTTATGTCTTTCCAACAGGCTCAAGAGAAAATTTGCACATGAGACGCAAGCTCATATTCAGGGCGGCAGACAGGAAATTAGTGACCTGAATGTAAGAATCTGTTTATCTTTTTTCTCCAGTGTTGCTTAGTACGTGACAGCGAGTGTAGTGTCTGCTTGACGAACGCTCAAGCAGAGCAGTACTTTTTGAAGAGAATCAAGTCCTTGTGGTAAATGAAAGAAAGGAAATTTCTCAAAGGTGAAATACAATTAGAATAAAGCTCTTTAGTTCTAACAAGAGTACAGGCTCAGAAATGTCAAATCGGAGTATCGTACGGCATTTGAAGCTCTCAAGCAGGTCAAAAGGGAAATTGATCATGTCAACCAAGAGGTAAGGATTCTCTACTTTGTATCCATTTGGTCGAATTGTTTGTTGTCGAATTGCTTATAGATACGAGAGCTTAAAAGAAACTTGCTGGAATCATTCTACAAGTGGTTTGAAACGCATAAAAAATCTATGTAAATTTAAACGTAGTTTTGTAACAGAGCTATTGTCAATGTAGATTTTTAAATTAGAGGCTAAAGCTCCTTAATTTAGCCATAAAGCAAAAGCACAAATTTTCCCTCCCCTGGTCCATGTACAAACCAGCTGCAAGATGGGCACTGATTTCAAGGAAGAGAGATATTTGGATGTTAATTCCCATCTAAAGGAAAACATTCTAACAGCGCCTCTTGTGAGACTAACACTACCTCGTGCAAGATCAACAACACAATGGAAGGGCACTTCCCTCGAGTATTTTTTCTAAGGGAAGGCATGTCCTACCGTCCTCCACAAACTCACTAAATTGGAAGGAACCAAAACAAACATGAGGAATTATCTATAATGGTTTAGATGGTGGAGAATTAGCTGCACATGGGACGCCATGGTATTTGAGTATTTATCCCCATCCTCTTGACTGAGATCCTCTTCATCTGGTTGTATCCTATTCATAGGCACATAAAGCTTTCTTTTCGCCAGAAGCTATGTCTGCGACGGATCTCTCATGAGAAAAAGCTCCCATTGCAGTGAGATCTGAACGTGCTCTGCCAGTTGCCAGGTCCCAGGCATTAGCTTCTGCATTGCGAGTTCTTTTTAATTAAACAAAGAAACTACCATGCTGGCAAAGCGCAAAGACGGGCTTGTTATTGATACCCGATAGAAATAGATACTGATTGCGGTAACACCGTCATATGTTGAATCCGCTAAGAAGTAACATGACAACTTTCGGCAAAAATATTGGAGGATAATAGTTTAGAACGCATAGTCAGGTGCCTGAGTCATCGGGCTGGAAGGAACTCTTGAGAGCAACCCCAAGTCTCACTTAAGAGCCTCATTGGTATGCAAGACGAGAACTGGCTTCTATCTGCTGATGAATAGATAACAATGTGAAAAAAAAAGACTGAGAAGAAATTAAGGCTAAGTACTTATTTCTTTGTGACACTTGCATTTATTTTTGAGCAATTAAGAGAAATGTAATGTTTGTAGCTAGTTTCTGTCACCATAAATAACCAATTTGGAATATAACTTGCTGGATCGAGAAGAAAGTATGTTCCAGAAAAAGTGCAAAGCTCAGTGATGAACCGATTTGAACATAAGGAAGGCACCAATTGCACTATAAAAAGAAAAAAACTTACAAAACCATATAATCTTCATTAGGCCATGAAGAGCTCTTGCAAACCAAATTTGCTTGGATCTCCTACACCATGAGAGCTGGAAGAGAATGAGAAATTCATAGCGCAAGCACTGGACTTGGCGGTCGTCAGAAACTGGTAAAAGAAAGGTATCCCTGTACTCAAACTCCTTGGGATCCAGCCATAGTGATTGAGATTGCCGAAATGCGGTCTTGATTGCTTCAAAGACTGGTCCACTAGGATCATACCTCCTGGTCTGGGAGGCTAAGTCAGGAAGTTCATCTTCTTCATTTTCATTGCTGGAGACAACAATGATTTCTTCCTTCAATCCCTGACTTATAGTTGGCTGAGGCACCCTCATCAAAACGCTTTGGAGATCCTGTGACAAAAATCTCATGACCACTGAATCCCATCCTCTCCTACACCGCTATCAAGGAAGATTGACTTTTCTACCAGATTACAAGGATTCTCAATATAAATAGAACTGAGCTTCAATTTGAATCTTCTACAAAGGAAACTTTCTCTTAGAACACTTTAGGAAAGATTATCAGAGGCTTCTGATCAAACTTCAAATGAAACTCTCTTATTGCATTAGGTCACTCAAACACTTAGAAAACTTTTGGGAAGAAACTGACAGTGAAGAACAAGGATATTTGTTCTTGATTGAGTGGAAAAGGAATTTAAGATTTGCTTCTAAAGCATTGAATGATTGTGTCCTTGTAAAGACACATCACATCTTTGTTCATAGTGGATTTTTCCAATAAATATATCCTACAGCTTGCAAATTAAGGTACTGAAGAAAAGATTACAGAAGCTAAGAAGCTACCCATTTAATAGCAACATTGAAAGAATGAAATTTAACTTTGTCGCATCCTAATTGTTGATTTTTAGGGTTTGATGGCTAGCATTTGAGAAGGGATGTGCAGGGAGTTTCTAGCAGGGAAAAGTGAGAGAAAGGCACTTCAATCTTGCAATGTGCTTCAATCTCTAGTGATCTAGATAAAGAAAGATGCTTCTCAATCATGGTATGCCTTAAGCTTCTTTTCAAAGTCCTCTACTACTTCTCGATCTCCCCATTTGTTGCTCTCAAGTCGCTGCTCGTGGCTTGTGGCTCACAGGTTTTTCTTTCCTTGGCACTGGAAAGATGCCTATTTTTTGGCTTCTTTATTTTTTCTTTTCCAACTTCTTATAGCATTTACTAAAGAGTTTTGATTGTCTTTTTGGAGATACATAAATCATGCCACAACAGAAGAAGCAT